GACTCCTGCCAGGGAGATCTGCTCACACAGCACCAGGAATCTCTATGGCATGACATGATAGGGCACCAGAGGTGTCCGCCTCTACGGTGGAGAAAGAAGTGAATGATGAGGCAAGGTTCCGGAGATGAGCACACTCTCATTTCCTAGAGGGCTGGGGAGATCGCTCACCTGGTTAAGTGCTTGTCTTGCAAGCCTGAGCACCTGGGTTCGATCTCCAGAATCCACACAAAAAAAGATGAGTATAGAGTTCCTTGCTTGTGCTCAGTGCTGGGGAGGCAGAGACATGAATATCCATGGGGCTTAGTGTCAAGCCAGCTTAGGCTACTTGGTTGAGTTGCAGATCAGTGAGAGACACTGTTTCCACACACCAAGTCAGATTATGGGAACCAAGGGATGATGCATGGGGTTGTCGTCTGGCCTCCACATGCACACACGTCAACACACACACACACACACACAGGCACATGGGCACAACTTTGTAGAGAAAGGGCGTGAATAGAGTTTGGCTCATCAGCTCAGTTGTGGCCTGGAATTGTGGAGTCAGGAATGCCGAGAGGATGGAGTCCAATCTGCGTGCAGAAGACCACGGAGGCCTTTTGTGGTCAGGGGGAGTCAGACATGGGGGTCTGGACTGCTGAGGCTGGGCAGAGTCTGCTTTGCTGGTGAGGTCCCCACTGAAAAGTCTCTCGTGCCTCTGAGCTTGGAGAAAGGATGGCGCCATGCAAATGCAGAGCTGTTTTCACATCCCTAACACATCCCAGATTTGTGCAGCGGCGAGGTGGTCCAATCCTGTGAACTTCCCACTGTTTCCCTTTCCTGACAGGCACGGGGCTGACACTTGAGGAATGCTTCTTTATGCTGGAAAATAGACTGGGCCAGAGTGCACACTGTAGAGGAACAGGAATGTGGATAATCCCTAGTTCTGGAAAAAGCCCCAGATCACCAAGGATAAGCTTGGGGGTGGAGGTGGTGAGCAGCAGGTTCATCTAGTGTTATGCTTGCTCTGGTGGATATTGACATGCATAAACGTTCTGAGTTCTCACGAAGGACAGGTGCTAGGACACCCTTGGGCATGCCTGGGCATGAGAGGATGGGGTCTAGTACTCTGCCCGGGGAAGTTGGGTGGGCAGTGTGTGAAGTAATGAAGTCATGCGTGGGTAATGGACTGCTCGCTGCATTGCTTTCTAAAGTGGGACTCAATGGGACCCTTGGTTCCCTTCTCCTCCTTTTCCTTCATTTTCACAGTAGTCTGGAAGCCAGAGAGGCTTTCTTCCAGACACAAAATAGACTCTAATCTCCCCAGGAAGCGCCTTCTGAGGGGACTAGAGAGACTTATGGGTACACTTCTGGACTTCTGAGAACTGTGGCCAGTGTCCTTGGGGGGGGGGTTTCATTCCACTTCTTCTTGGAGACACTTGGTTTATGTCCCCCACTCCAGGCTTTCCTGTTTGCCACTTGTTGTCTAGAATGAGAAACATTCTGTGTTGTTACAATTTTGCCTCACTTAAAGGGGAAAATCTTATTTTCATACTGTTTCTGGTATTAACTCCTCTGGGGGGCATGTGGGATTGAATTCTCTTGCTTCTTTGAAATGGGCACTTTCCAAATGCAGTTTCCTGTTCCCCTCACCTTTATACAGTCCCCTGGGGACTTCTGGACAAGAGAGTCACTCACTACTCAACGCCCCACAGCCCAGTCAGCAAGCAGTCCACCCACCCCCCATGACCATGCACATAGGGAGCAGCTGCTCCATGTTTGTGGCGGGGTAGGGAAGGCAGAGAAGGGCAACTTACGGTCTCTGCTCTCCAAAGATTACAGTCTCATTAAAACAATATGCTTAGTAGATATACAAATGATTGCTTTAAAAATACGGCAATGGCCAGTCGGTGGTGGCGCACACCTTTAATCCCAGCACTCAGGAGGCAGAGGCAAGTGGATCTCAGTGAGTTTGAGGCCAGCCTGGTCTACAAAGTGAGTTCCAGGACAGCCAGGACAGTTACACAGAGAAACACCCCCCACCCCATCTCGAATAACTGAAAAACCAAAAACCAAACAAACAAAAAAGACCATGGCCAGTGGCTGGTGAGATGGTTCAGTAAGAGGACTTACCATGCAAGCCTGACCACTTGAGTTCAACCCACCATAGAAGGAGAGAATGGATGCCCAAAAGTCACGCGCGCGCGCACACACACACACACACACACACACACACACACACACACCCTGTGGTCAAGTGAATTGCAATCTAAGAAGGAAGGCTGGTTGATAAGTAGTCGTTTCTCTAGGTCTGGGTGAGTTTCCCATCTGTGGAAGGAGTCCACATGGAGGCGTGGGGTGCTTGCCATTTTCTAATATCCCACGGCCCACAGCACAGAGAGTGGGTGAGCTTTACTGACCTGGTCTGGATAACATCACCCTGGGTTGATGTCCCCAAGATCTCACAGATATTTGGGAAGATCTTAAAGATTTCTCAAAGGTTTTCAAGCAGAATTCTTTTTCTTATAATATAGAGAGGCAGGTGGCTCAGGATAAGCCGTTTTTTTTTTGTTTGTTTGTTTTTTGTTTTTTGTTTTGTTTTGTTTTTTACTTCTATCATAATCATTCTTAAATGCTCACTTCCCTTTAACAGGAGGCAAGTGTCACCCATTTATGGTACTGGTGCAGGGATTAGACTTAACGGACAGGACCACCAGACACAGGCTAGTGGTCACAATTCAACTCCAACCTCTCTACAGTTGCCATGGAGATCAGTGAGGAAAGGTGCTACTGAAATAAATGCACTGTGCCATTTTATCACTTTTCAGCTCTGGAACTGAGGCACACAGCCTCTTGGAGTCCCCATCTCCATGTCACCTGCTATCTAGGTTACTTTTGTATCACTGTGACCAAACACTGTACAGAGCAGAGAGAGCCCCGAGTGAAGTCCTGAGTAACGTCCTAACAAGGGAATGGACTGTTGAGAACCCTGAGGCCTCAGATTCACGAGACAAATTGCAAAACCCTTATAGCACAGGCTCAAGGGAAATGGTACAGCTTTCCTTGGGAGTGGGAGTATGAGTGTTCACGGCTGATTGATCAGTGTGTTCAAAGACTAGCTGTAGCTGGAGGGCTTCTCTCCAGGTCCCACCAAGCCCCTGGAGTCCCACAACCCACTTATAAAATAATCACTCAGACGCTTATATTACTTATAAACTGTATGACCGTGGCAGGCTTTTTGTTCTCTACTTTTTTAATCTTAAATTAACCCATTTCTATTAATCTATACTTTGCCATGTGGCTAGTGGCTTACCGGTACCTTACATCTCCCTTGTCATGGTGGCGGCTGGCAGGTCTCTCCCCGCCTCAGCCTTTCACTTCCCAGAATTCTCTTCTCTGCTTGTCCCGCCTATACTTCCTACTTAGCTACTGGCCAATCAGTGTTTTATTTATACAGAGCAATAAGTAATATAAGCATCTGAGTGATTATTTTATAAGTGGGTTGTGGGACTGCAGGGGCTTGGTGGGACCTGAAGAGAAGCTCCCCAGCTACAACTAGCAGCTGTGACTTCCTCCTTCAGGGTGTTCGCAGCCTGAGACCACTCGCCTGTGTCCCTTCTCCCCACCCCCATGGTGTATCCAATAAACAACCTGAGGTTCCAGGTTGTGTTGGTCATGCTTAGAGAAGCCCATCTATTCCCAGCCTCAGCGTCTGTGTTTGTCCTTTGTTCATTCCCTCACCACCCGTAGCCAGGATCCTGGGATCCACATGGCATAGGACGAGGCAGAGCACCTCATAAAAACACCTTCAGGATGGAAGATGGTGTGGCAGGAATCTTAAAAGGTCTTATTAATAAAATCAAACCTGGAGCCAGGTATTGGGGTGAATGCTGGAAGATCAGAGAAGCAGAACAAGCCACAGACTCCTCACCTCGCCGATTCCTCAGCTGATCCTGTTTCCTCAGACTGGAAGCCTCCGAGTCCTCATCCAAATGAATCTCAGCTGAACTGCTGCTCAAAAGCCTGAAAGCTTAACCAGCCTTAGTTCCTGGTCCTCACGCCTTACATACCTTTCTGCTTTCTGCCACCACTTCCTGGGATTGAAGGCATGATGAGTCACCGTTCCTGGCTGTTTCCAGTGTGACCTTGAACTCACAGAGACACGGATGGATCTCTACCTCCCAAGTAATAGGATTAAAGGCGTGTGTGCCACCATTTTTCTGGCCTCTGTATCTAGTGGCTGTTCTGTTCTCTGACTCCAGATAAGTTTATTAGGGTGCACAATATTTTGGGGAACACAATATCACCACAAGATGTACTTTGACTCATAGTTTCAAAAGGCTCAGTCCAGCAGGCCACACAGGGGCAAAGCCACTCAGATCACAGTAAGGATCATGCATGTGGCAAAGGCTGTCCACACCACAGAGAACTGTACCACAAGAGCAGAGTGCAAAGTAGGGGAAAAAAAATGGAGTCTAAGCTTAAGAGTCTGCTCCTAGTGTGACCTACTTCTGTGACGTTAGTTCATCTCCCAAAGGTTCCACGACCTCTCAAAAGAGCACCACTAGCCAGGAAGAAGCATGTAAAGATATGAGCCTGTGGGAGCAGATCTCAGATTCAGATCAGAACACCTACCTGGTAGACATGTTGGATTTGGATCAGCCACCACGAGATGGCTTTCCCCTTCGTATGGGAAGATTCCAGCTATGACAGACACAGAGCTGGAACACTCTCAGGTGTAGCTTTCCACTTCTGAAAACAATTTCTAGGCTAGGGAGGAAATGGACTTTTGCAATGCTTTCTTGTATAAATAGGAAAATTGAGCCTTGGATAAGTTGGGACACGCCTAAAGTTGTGACCAAGCCAGAGCGGAACCTGATTCTCAGATCTGGCAGTTTCAGTCAGGGAACTTTGGGAGCAGGAAAGGGACAAGTGTCACTGGAGGCAGCTGTCTACCCTCTTCACTCCTGGGTTTCTGTATGTGTTTTCTCTTGTGTTCACAGGAGCAAGTGACACTACCTTGGTTAGACGCTGCCCAGTGGTCATCCCATCCCAGAAGGTTCACGGTAAACAGAACAGGTAACACCAAGGGTGAGTTTTCTCTCAGATACTGTAGAGAAAGCAAGTTCAAAGTGCTTCTAAAAGTAAATCTCCCCTGGGGAGAGTTTGGCCTGTGGCGAATGTGTTTGGAAACATGTTTTCTGTAAAACTCAACCTCATTAATCTACTTGCAATTCCAGAAAGACAGCTTTCACGGCACACATCCGGGCTTGTCCCAAACTCTCCCATGCTCAGTGGCAGATGCAGGCAAGTGGCCCCAGCACACTGCAGGAACTGAGGACTCGGGTCTCGTGTCTAGTTTGGTCACAGGAGGCTGGTGCCTTGGGCTTGGAAACTGCAAGGGAAGTCATTTACTTTGGCCTTGTCCTGCCGTCTCCTGTGCCGCATCTTGTCGGGGAGTTTGGGAGGAGCTGAGAACCGTCACCTTCTCACACACCAGAGAGCATTATCCCCAACGAGTTCGGAGAGTCGGCTGAGATGATCCATTTTAACCTTGGTCAAAACTGTTGAACCTTCCGAGTCTCTCCTTCATCGGCAGCCGAGGAAGCCTTGAGTAAATGTGTAAAGCGCAGATGAAGTCCTGAGCGGATGTGTGTTGTTGATATGGGCATGGGCATGTCTAGAACCCAGTGCCTCAGACCCATGGCAGTAGCAAAGCCTTTCCCCCCAGAGTTAGGCTCAGAAGAGTGACTGAGGAAGACCAGCTCCCTCTTATTCCCCCAGGTACTCTTGAGCAAGGAGAAATGAGGACTATGTAGATAGAAATATAGAGGGCAGAGACAGACAGAAAACACAGGATAGCCTCGGGAGGGCCTGGGTTCAAACCCACCAGCCCCTTCTGTCTCTACTAAAGGGCTTTTAAAGGAATGCTAAGGGGTGGAGCAAAAGATCTCCCCCCAGCACAGCCAAGCGCAGACCATGTCAGATACCTGGTGACCATGCACGTGGTCCAGCCATCCCCTAATGCAGCCCTGCTGTGTAAAGCAAGCTCAGATCTCACTAGGAAGCTATTGTGGGATCCCACAAGTGACAAAGCCCTCCTCTGGCCTGTGTGCAAATGTTGCCAGTGTGAACATGCAGCCCGAGACAGCTCCTCTACAGACACCTCCCACTTAAGCTACCTCACGCCTCCCATCTGCCGCACATCATTAAAACACGGAGGTTCCAGCCTGTGTTTACAGAGTGGTGCTGCTCCATCAGAGTGAGCCCAACCCATCCGACCCCTGCTTTTCTGTGCCCTGTGTCTGTGTGTCTGCTCGTTCTTCACTGCCCAAGTCACGTCAGGGTCAAAGCCATGCAGGACATGGCTCTCCTGCTCTCTGGGGAAAGGAGCCTCTCAAACAAGTTTGAAATCACAGAAGAAAGAGAAATAAAAAGAGTCCATGCCGAATGACCACGTAGCTCAATACAGTGTAATTGGGATAGTCACTGTTTAGTAATTGGAGTCCCGGGACGTTCTGAATCTAATGCAAGTGGAGGCGACACATGCAAAGTCCCCTGCTGCTTCTCTAGTTTATAGTGCTGCTGATGTAGGGAGGGAGGGGTGTCAGTCAGCAGAGCGGTGGACACGCTGGAGTAAAGTCTCAAGCTGTGTCCTCACTAAGGCCAGAACTGAATGCCACACCGGCAGGCCGTGTCATTTCCATTAGCCTTGCCTGAGACACTCTCTTCCAATATTATGTCCCAAACTGCTGAAGTAATTGTAGTAAAAGCATTAAAACGCATCCTTCTTGGCATGAATGTTGAGCACGCACGGCCACCGAATTGTCTAAGGAGCGCCAATTTTGCGTCTGGAAATGTGAGCTCGCAGAGCCTCATGGGACATTCCACAGGGTCTGGACTTGGGTTTTGGTGTGACAAGATGTACCGTGCTGTGATCCAGGGCCGCTCAGACCCCGAGGCTGACAAAGAGAGGTCACCACAGAGTGTGGCAAGGGGCAGTGGGGAGGTGTCCCCCATGGCTTCAGTAGTACAGTAGTACCCCGATGTTGGAGCCCACACAGTAAAGCCAAGGCCAAGTCCGGGCACCTTCTGAGTCCCCGACTGGCTCCTCATGCCTGCCTCTTCCTCCTGGTCTGGAGACGGGGAGCCCTTTCCGTGGTCTGCTGTGCACAGGGAGGAAGGGCCGGAGTCCAGTGCTGGGCCTCTCAGCCGAGCCTTCATCTCTACTTGGTGCTGCAGCTAAGCCCTCTCTCCCGTGCCCCCTTCCGATGTCTTCCCCAAGCCTTTGCTTGAGCTGCAGGTGACAGTTGGCTTGGCCAGAAACAAAGACAGTTATCCCTGGCTGCTACCTGTCTCCTGCTGGCTGCCTGCCCTGTCTTGTTATATAACCTCCCTCCGTGTGTCTGATTTCTACACTGCCAGCCCTCTGGGCAGGGGCTTCTTTTTCTCCCCCCTCACTCTGTGTTCGTCTCTGCGGTTAGATGGATTATGTCTGATGTTTAAGTTTTCAACTCCCACCCTTCACTCTCAAATTCTAAGAGAAAACTATTCAGAGTGACTCCTCGACGGCTGTTGGGAATGGAACGGAGGGTAACGTGTGGTACAGGAGGTATGCGCAGGTGCTGGGAACCTGGGGCAGTTGGTGATCCCCAGGGAGAAGAGTAGGGTTCATCAAGGAGTGGGTTCTGGTCTTCCCGAGAGTGTCGACAAGGTGTTGCCAGGATCATGATGACCTCTGACTGCTCGGAAGAGAAAAGACTTTACTCTTTGTACCTGGAGTGTTGTGAGGTTTCCCGTGGAAGAGAAACTGAGTGGCTAGAGTATAAGTTTCTTATACTCCACACAGGAAGCTAGAGTTAGATAAAGCAGAAGGCCTGGCAGATGTCACTGTTTCTCTAGTCCTTCCTTCCTTC